AATTATGTCTCAGTCAGCACATTCCTAATGATTTAGTGTAAACACTTTGTGGTCACTGCATGTGCTGAATGTTTAGTATCAGCAGAGGTGTTTAGATTGCATGCAATGAATGTTTAGTATTAGTAGAAGTGTTTGGATTGGATGTACTGAATGTTTAGCAACAGTAGAGGTGTTTAGACTGTGTTTAATGAATGCTTATTGTTAATAGAGGTGTTTTGGCTGTGTGCAATGAGCACTTAACAACAGTAAAGGTGTTTAGACTATGTTTAATAGATGTTTAGTATGAGTAGAGGTGTTTAGACTGCATGTAATGAATGTTAAGTAAAAAAGGTGTTTAGACTACTTGTAATGACTGTTTAGTATTAGTAGAGGTGTTTATACTGCGTGTTATGAATGTTTAGTATTAATAGAGGTATTTGGACTACTTGTAATGATTGTTTAGTATTAGTAGAGGTGTTTAGACTGCATGTAATTAAGGCTTAGTATTAGTAGAATTGTTTAAAATGCATGTGATGAATGTTTAGTATTAGTAGAGGTGTTTAAAATGTGTGTAACGAATATCTAGTATTAGTAGAGGTGTTCAGACTGTGTGTAATGAATGTTTAGTATTAGTAGAAGTGTTTAAAATGTGTGTAATGAATATTTAGTATTAGTAGAGGTGTTCAGACTGTGTAATGGACGTTTAGTATTAGTAGAGGTGTTTAGACTGCGTTTAATGAATGTTTAGTATTAGTACAGGTGATTAGACTGCATATAATGGATGTTTAGTATTAGTAGAGGTGTGTAGACTGCATATAATGAATGTTTAGTATTAGTACAGGTGTTTAGACTGCATATAATGAATGTTTAGTATTAGTAGAAGTGTTTAAAATGTGTGTAATAAATATTTAGTATTAGTAGAGTGTTTAGACTGCATTTAATGAATGTTTAGCATTAGAGGAGTTTAGACTGCATATAATGAATGTTTATTATTAGTACAGGTGTTTAGACTGCATATAATGGATGTTTAGTATTAGTAGAGGTGTATAGACTGCTTGTAATGAATGTTTATTATTAGTAGAGTTTAGACTGCATATAATGAATGTTTAGTATTAGTAGAGGTGTTTAGACTGCATATAATGAATGTTCAGTATTAGTACAAGTGTTTAAAATATGTGTAATGAATATTTAATATTAGTAGAGTGTTTAAACTGTGTGTAATGAATGTTCAGTATTAGTAGAGATGTTTAGACTGGGTGTAATAAATGTTTAGACTGCTTGTAATGAATGTTTAGTATTTGTAGAGGTGTTTAAACTATGTAATGAATGTTCAGTATTAGTAGAGGTGTTTAGACTGCGGGTAATGAATGTTTAGGATTAGTAGTGTTTGGTATTGTGGCTTTTTTCAGGCAGTGACTGACATACAGGAAACATTCTGTCAGTCTCATAAACTGAGCAATTAATGAACACCATGCTGAGCCCTGTGCTCACACATACACATTCATTCGGTCTCTCTCTCCCCCTCTCTCTCTCTCTCTCTCTCTCCTCTCTCTCTCTCTCTCTCTCTCTCTCGTTATTCGACTCTCTGTTGTAGCTGTACCTCTGCCAGCCAATACAAAGCAATCGTTTCTACTGAAGCATCTCTAAATTGGAGGTACCCTCTCGTGTGTGCGTGTAGGGGAAGCACTTCATTTGGCCTATTTTGTTAGTCATTTTTGTTTATTTTCCAAACAGAGTGATTGCCTGGTGGGGAATCAGAGCCTGGAGTGCTGTCTATCTCTCTCTCTCGCTCTCTCCCTCTCTCTGCTGCTATTTTGTGTCTCTCTTCCCTTGTTTTGCACAGCCTTCTCTTCTTAACCTCTGATCTGTGGTAGAGCTGTACAATATGAGCAAAATACCAGTATTTAGATTTTTTTCTGTATGTTTCAAAGCAAACAAGAGCATAATTAGTTGTTTATTCATAGTTTTTAATAGTCATTTTTAAATGTGGCTTTTTTGTCTGTTACATCTCATTACAGCCTGCTGGTGAATCACATTTGGCTGAAGATCTGGGACCGGATTCACAAAAGCTTTCTTAAGAACAAACTTGCAAATGTTCTTAAGACAAACACTAAGAAGTTCATGAGAATTTTCTTAAATTAGATAATCTTAATTACTTTCTTAAGAAAATCTTTATTGTTTTCTTATGTAGGCTATGTAGCATTTTACCACATACCATTAGCGATGCAAGATACAGTTTGAATCTGTATTAACTGTTATTTCTGTTGTTTAGTTTAATCCATCCGCCCAATGACAGCTGGGATAGGCTCCAGCACCCCACCGCGACCCAGAAGGATAAGCGGTTTAGATGATGTATGTATGTATGTATGTATGTAGTTTAATCCACTCAGAGGAGCAAAATGGAGGAAAAACATCAAAACAAGCATTTAAAAAAATATCAAATAAGAACTGAAGGCGATGGAAGAAGAAACAGCCAACAGGAAAAAATCCTCATTGGAAAATATGATAATTGTAGGGTGACGGATGAGGACAGGCAGGATTAGCAGAGGCAGCGTCCGTGATAAATTTAGATGCTGACCGGGTCAACTCTCACAGCCTTAGACAAGTGTGAGGCTATCATAAGGTTAAGAAAACATTTAAGAGCATAATATTTTCAAGAATACCACTTAGATACCACCTCTTAACATTACTCTTCAGAAAATATTTTAGAATAAAAATTTCTCGTACCTTTTTTCTTACGAACGAAGTTAAGAAAAAAACACACATTTAATGAGATTTTCTTTCTTAAGACACTTTTGTGAATCTGGCCCCAGCTTCTGTCTGACCAAAACAAACAAGCCCCTCCAAAGAAAAACAATATATTAACCATTCCACACTATTTGGATTATCAGTTATTTTATTTGCTGTTTTATTTTGTACAACGTTTTACATTAAAAAGCCAAACTATGCTTTATTTACATTTTAGTGACCCCTTTATTTTTAACACAGTACATTAAACAATGCTATACCATGTTTATGATATGATTTTTACAAAAAATGTCTCATATACTGTTTTTCATTGCATGCTGCTTACCGTGACTAGCATTTCAGCTTGTGGCTCGAGTGTTAGCTTGGGACCCTGTAAAGCACAGCCTTGTTTGAAATATTACACTTTATGAATGTTGAATGTCTGAAGAAACTGAAAAATGAAACACTGACGCATTAACATCAGGCACATTTTCAGCCACTCTATTTCTGCTGTATTGAAAAACGTATCACATTGAATTCTGAATTTTGTAAATGTAACGTAATAATAATCTGTAGCCAAATGAACAGCTGACCCTCTAAAACCATGTTGTTTTCAGACACTTCTGTCTTTAAGTGTAGCATCTTTCATGCATGCGACTCAAAGCAAAACCAGCTCAAGACATTTAGTAAAAACTGTCTAGTGAGAAGATGGAAACTTGTTCTGGGTTTTTTGTGACTGTGTTTGCCCTTTTGCAGCACAGCTGTGTGACTGTCAAAGCAGCTCATTCACTCACAATCACACAAACAGAGCGGACGCTGCTGCAGTGAACTGTAGCTGTGCTTTTAAAGGGGCCTAAATAATGTCTACATTCAGAAAGAGAGAGAAAGGACAACAGTGTGCATGTGTGTGTGGTCCGGTAGAGGAAGTGTGCGGTCAGTATACAATTGTCTGTGTGACAGGCACACTAAAGAGATTCACAGCTGATCTTTTTTTCTCATTTTAGACAAAAGCGTTATGTACCCGGCCTCGAATGAGCGTCAGAGTAAAGCATTTTTTCATATATGCTACTGTGATCCAGTTATAAAAAAGGCAAGAAAAGTCACAAATACATTGTTAGTAATTTGACCTTTAACTGGGCTACCAAAGACACTCCAAACAACAGGTGGACAGAATGTGTTACTTATTTCAGTCCAGAAAATAGCCTTATGTAGATTGCATGTCATACTTGCCTAATAGCTTTACCTGGAGCCTTACCTGGCTAATAGCTTTGCCTGGCTAATAGCTTTACCTGGCTGTTTGTGACCTTACCTGCCTAACAGTCTTGCCTGGTTTGCATCCTTATCTGGACAACTGTCTTAGTTGGTTTGTGGCCTTACTTGGCTAATAGCTTTGCCTGGCTAATAGCTTTACCTGGCTAACAGTCTTACTTGGTTTGCAGCCTTACCTGGCTAATAGTTTTACCTGGCTAACAGTTCTACCTGGTTTGTGGCCTTACCTGACTAGTAGCTTTCCCTGGCTAATGGTCTGCAGCCTTACCTTGCTATTAAACCTACCTGGCTGAAAGATTTACCTGCATAACGTTCTTACCTGGTTTGCAGCCTTACCTGGCTAACAGTCTTACCAGGTTTTGAGGCCTTATCTGACTAATAGCTTTCCCTGGCTAACAGTCTTACCTGGCTAAAGCCATTACGTGGTTAACAGCCTTACCTGACTAATGGTCATATCTGGCTAGTAGTCTTTCATGGCTATCTGCCTTACCTAACAAACAACGCTACCAGGCTAACAGACTTACCTGGTCCATAGACCTCATCATTCTATTAACATTACATTTCGAACCATTTATTCTCTTTTCTAACTTGCACACATGACAGAAACAGAGCTTTCAGTTTCTCCCAGAAACAGATTTTAAAGGAGAACTAGGAACTTCTGTGTTTAATGTGTACAGTGTGACTGTAGAAAAAGCACAACACAATTAAGCTTATTTAGTCCTACAAGCGAACTCGAGTGTCATAAAAGAAACAAAAGTGTCTAGTTGATGTGTTCTGTAGTCCTATAACCACGTATTACTCACAGCGAGCCTTCCATGGCACAGTTAAGTGTTTTTCCACATAGAACCAACTCAACAGCTAATGATCAAGTCCTTCTGGAGTTGAATCAGGTGTGCTAGAGCAGGAAAACATGGAGCTGTGCAGTGCAGGTGGGCTTTAGGAGTGGGATGGAGAGAACAGACGATATAAATGAAGTGAAAGCGTCATATTGAATGCTGAGTATGTGTTCTGTTTCTGTCTCCTAGGGCCGTTTGGAATGGAGAGAACGGCCGAGCTTCTGCAGGACAGCGTGCACTGCGTTCAGATGATTCACACAATTAAATTGTTATTTACTAATTTGAATATTGTTCTGAATATATTTTGGTTTGGTAATTCATATCTTATAAATGAAAAAAGGTTGATTTTTTGAAAGCAGCTAATTAATGTCACTACCAGGGATTATATTCGACATATATTTCAACTAAAAGAACGTTTATAACACAGGTCCATCAGTTCAGAAAGCACATGTGCAGTGACAGAGCTGTAACATTTCAACTTTATAAAGACTGTATTGCTCGTCACACTGTAAATAAGTACAGACTGTAAATGTGAAATACAAAAGGAATTGCCTGATTTTGTTATATATTTATTTCATTTTTAGTATGAAATAAGCTATTTTGGCAGGTGAGCTAACTTAATGCAACTGTAATCAGTTATACATTTAATAAATACAGTGTTGAAACAGCCCAGCAGAAATACTGCTGAACTGTTATATAAAAAACTGGTTTATTATAGCAGCTTTAGAAACGGGACTTAAGTAGATGGCACTGTGATTCACTTTATTAGGTACACTTACCTTATATCTACACTTCACTGTCCATCTTATCAGCTCCACTGACCATATAGGAGCACTTTGTGGTTCTGCAGTTACAGACTGTAGTCCATCTGTTTCTCTGCATATTTCGTTAGCCTGTTCTTCAATGGTCAGGACCCACACACAGCAGGTATTATCTGGGTGGTGGACCATTCACAGCCAAAAATACCCTGCCAGCATCATTTTGTGGCCAGACTTGACCACTGATGGACTAGAGTAGAGGTTCACAAACCTTTTTAGTCCAAAACCCCCTTTGTGGAGAGTAAATGCTAAGGGCCACTGTTTGAGAACTGCTGGACTAGAGGATGACCAACACAAACTGTGCAGCAGCAGATGAGCTATCAGTTCTGAGTGGACAGTAACTGCTGTGTCTGATCCACTCGCACCAAGACATCAGTGTCTCTGCAATGACCCTAATGATATCTGCTCAGCGGTGGTCCTGCAAGGCTCCTGACCACTGTAGAACAGAGTCAAGATGATCTGTAATTCTAGTCCATCTTGGATGTCCACAAAGTGTAAATAGTAAGTGGAGCTGATAAAACAGACGATTGTAGATACAAGGCAGGTGGACCCAATAAAGTGACCAGTGAGAGTAGATCATACATAGATGCCTATGAAGTGATATTATATGATGTATGATATAGATGGTGTTGCACTGAGCTTTTATGTTGATGTTGAGGGGACAGTAGCTGGTCATGCAGGCAGTTCGTCTGTGGTTGGGTTTGACTCCGCCTCCTCTGCTTCCCACGGCAACTTCATCTCCCGCACCCCTCCTGAAAAAAAGGCAGAAAACGCCTCTTCATTTGTCCCTCCCTTCATTCATGCTTTCATCTCTTCATCCCTCCCTTTATTGTGCCAAAAGACTGGAGTATAATGAGCGACGGGGAAGGATAATAAAGGCCTTGATGGATGAGACGACGCTCTCTGTGTGTTTTTAACTGAGTTCAGTAGTTAACAATTAGAGTTATTGTTGTTGTGCTTTACTGATAGGATGTGTTTTAACTTATTTCAGCATAGAATATCAACAAAACGTCATCTGATTCAGGGGATTCAAACTTTCGCATCACTGCTGTCGGAACAAAACCTTGTATCTCCGTTTTTGTCATTTTTCAGTTTTTGACATAATTTGAAAGTGCCTGTCGCCCTTTACATTGTGTGTGAATTTCATGAATAATGGACCAAAAGAAACGGCCCAAAATGATCTGGAAGAAAGTCTGGTTCCATTGACTTACATTAAAATAAAGTATGTTTTTTTCCTTCTCCTATAAAGTTACCATTTTGGAGATACAAGGTTTTCTTCTGACAACAGTGATATGCTGATTGTATAAGGCCCATTGGCCTCTACTATAACTGTTTTCAGGCAGCAGGTGTTCTGGTCTGCGCATGAAAACACTGAAATCATTGTCTGTGGTAATGGATGGTGTGTTATAGACACAGAAGATGGAGATTAGGCTGAAAATGCTGAAGTATTCCTTTACCTGACTGGGCATGTGAGAGCACTGAGTGTTTACGCTGGAAAGAGTTTAGTATGGATGTTTCTGTATGCACGAGTGATAAATCCATACCCAGAATGCCTTGCTCCTGCAGCTCTTGCTCTATACTCTGCAGTCGGTTGTACTTATTCATCCGCCCCCCTCCACTCAGGCCCCCCAGCTTAATGAACGTCACACCCACACCTACAGCCTGCACACAGAAACATGCTGTATAAACGTGGAGTCCATACTGTAGATACACTGTAAAAGAAACTGGCTTCTAGCTGCTCTAATTCTACAGTAATTTACTGAACCATATTAACAAAATAGCAGCTGTATAATGTGACTCTACAGTCGTTTGCACAGGATTACTGTGCTCTAGCTGCATTCTGCTGTATTCATACAGGTAATACACTGTAATAATACAGTAATCTATTGTATTTTTATATTGCAACTGTAAAAGTGATGCAAAGAAAATAATTGCCAGTAATTTACATAATTTAAAGATGAAAAGAAAAAAATCACTGGACATATTTATTTACCATGTTTTGCACTGTATGTATAAACAATAAATGCACGTTTTTGTTCAGCATTTACAGGGGAAAGATTTCTACATTATCAAAAGTTGTGAACAGAGTCGTTCAGAGTGGTTTGGTGTAAAATGCTTCGTTCTAGAGAAACTTACCGAGTCAGAATTGTTCACAGTGGTGGTGATAGGAACCAGACGTCCACCTCTAAAAGCTCCCTCACAGAAAGTTATTACATGAAATGGTTGTAAATACACTGCCTGATGTCTCACACATGTTTTATAAACCATTCATAACAGAAGAATACATATAGTGGTTTGTGAGGGAAAACAGTCCCCCAAAAATGATTTTTTCAGATTTTCCACTTTTTTACCATCGTAAACATTAAATATTCCATATAAAACTCTGAGGACACGTGTAGGTTCACTGGTGGTTTTGGATAGTAAATATTAATAAAATGTCTATATTTGTGTTTTAGTCATGGCGACCCCTGGTTCCTATCACCACCACTGTAAGGACAAATGAACCATTTCACACCAAACTACTCTGAATCACTGTTTGCACTGCAACAATGGAATTAAAAATGCAAAATTAAAAAAAAATGCTGAAATTACGCATTAAACAATCAGAGAAAAGCAACAGCGTAAACTTTAAAAGTCTTTAAAACACCAAAACCTCAACTGTCGAGAACAAAAACAGAATGAAAATATTTACATTTATTTAACTTTTTGGTTAAGAAGTACAGCTGACGCCAGACTCACCACATCCATCAGAGAGTCGTCACCGACCTCCTCACTGCTGACCGCTAGAATGGTCTCTCCATCTGCACACATGTACACAGTGAGCAGGTTCGTCAGGTCAGGCCTGCAACCAATTCAGCTGCACTACATTACACTGATGCACTGTTTTATAGTCAAGTCCCCTAAAGACTGGTCAGTAACTTAGTCCACGTCTAAACCTGATCTGAGTATCACTGTATAAGAGTGTGTGAGAGTGAGAAAGAGAGACAGAGCGAGAGAGATACAGAGAGAGAGAGAGAGAGAGAGAGAGAGACTGACGAGCCGCCTGCATAATGCAGTCGATTACTGCCTCTCTCACTGATGACATTGATCACCCTTCCATTGAGCTAATGTCTATTACAGCGTCTGCCCTCTCTTTACTTCTATTTCTCTCTCCTCCTCTCTAACGCTCTCTCTATTTCTCTCACCTCCTCTTTACCACCCTCTATTTCTCTCTCCTCCTCTCTAACGCTCTCTCTATTTCTCTCACCTCCTCTTTAACACCCTCTATTTCTCTCTCCTCCTCTCTAACGCTCTCTCTATTTCTCTCACCTCCTCTTTAACACCCTCTATTTCTCTCTCCTCCTCTCTAACGCTCTCTCTATTTCTCTCACCTCCTCTTTAACACCCTCTTTCTCTCTCCTCCTCTCTAACGCTCTCTCTATTTCTCTCACCTCCTCTTTACCACCCTCTATTTCTCTCTCCTCCTCTCTAACGCTCTCTCTATTTCTCTCACCTCCTCTTTACCACCCTCTATTTCTCTCTCCTCCTCTTTACCACCCTCTATTTCTCTCTCCTCCTCTTTACCACCCTCTATTTCTCTCTCCTCCTCTCTACCAGTCTCTATTTCTCTTCCTCTCTAACACTCTCTCTATTTCTCTCTCCTCCCCTTTACCACCCTCTATTTCTCTCTCCTCCTCTCTAATGCTCTATTTCTCTCTCCTCCCCTTTACCACCCTCTATTTCTCTCTCCTCCTAATGCTCTATTTCTCTCTCCTCCCCTTTACCACCCTCTATTTCTCTCTCCTCCTCTTTACCACCCTCTATTTCTCTCGCCTCCTAATGCTCTATTTCTCTCTCCTCCCCTTTACCACCCTCTATTTCTCTCCTCCTCTCTAATGCTCTGTTTCTCTTTCCTCCTCTTTACCACCCTCTATTTCTCTCTCCTCCCCTTTACCACCCTCTATTTCTCTCTCCTCTTCTCTAACGCTCTATTTCTCTCTCCTCCCCATTACCACCCTCTATTTCTCTCTCCTACTCTCTAATGCTCTATTTCTCTCTCCTCCTCTTTACCACCCTCTATTTCTCTCTCCTCCTCTCTAACACTCTATTTCTCTCTCCTCCTCTTTACCACCCCCTTTTTCTCTCTCCTCCCCTTTACCACCCTCTATTTCTCTCTCCTCTTCTCTAACGCTCTATTTCTCTCTCCTCCCCTTTACCACCCTCTATTTCTCTCTCCTCCTCTTTACCACCCTCTATTTCTCTCTCCTCCTCTCTAATGCTCTATTTCTCTCTCCTCCCCTTTACCACCCTCTATTTCTCTCTCCTCCTCTTTACCACCCTCTATTTCTCTCTCCTCCTCTCTAACGCTCTATTTCTCTCTCCTCCCCTTTACCACCCTCTATTTCTCTCTCCTCCTCTCTAACGCTCTATTTCTCTTTCCTCCTCTTTACCACCCTCTATTTCTCTCTCCTCTAACGCTCTACTTCTCTCTCCTCCCCTTTATCACCCTCTATTTCTCTCTCCTCCTCTCTTATGCTCTATTTCTCTCTCCTCCTCTTTACCACCCTCTATTTCTCTCTCCTACTCTCTAATGCTCTATTTCTCTCTCCTCCTCTTTACCACCCTCTATTTCTCTCTCCTCCTCTCTAACGCTCTATTTCTCTCCTCCTCTTTACCACCCTCTATTTCTCTCTCCTCCTCTCTAACGCTCTATTTCTCTCCTCCTCTTTACCACTCTCTATTTCTCTCTCCTCCTCTTTACCACCCTCTATTTCTCTCTCCTCCTGTCTAATGCTCTATTTCTCTCTCCTCCTCTCTAACGCTCTATTTCTCTCCTCCTCTTTACCACTCTCTATTTCTCTCCTCCTCTTTACCACTCTCTATTTCTCTCTCCTTCTGTCTAATGCTCTATTTCTCTCTCCTCCTCTCTAACGCTCTATTTCTCTCCTCCTCTTTACCACTCTCTATTTCTCTCTCCTCCTCTTTACCACCCTCTATTTCTCTCTCCTCCTGTCTAATGCTCTATTTCTCTCTCCTCCTCTCTAACGCTCTATTTCTCTCCTCCTCTTTACCACTCTCTATTTCTCTCTCCTCCTCTTTACCACCCTCTATTTCTCTCTCCTCCTCTTAACCACCCTCTATTTCTCTCTCCTCCTCTTTACCACCCTCTATTTCTCTCTCCTCCTCTCTAACGCTCTATTTCTCTCTCCTCCTCTTTACCACCCTCTATTTCTCTCTCTTCCTCTCTAACACTCTCTATTTCTCTCTTCCTCTTTACCACCCTCTATTTCTCTCTGCTACTCTCTAATGCTCTATTTCTCTCTCCTCCTCTCTAACGCTCTATTTCTCTCCTCCTCTTTACCACTCTCTATTTCTCTCCTCCTCTCTAACACTCTCTCTATTTCTCTCTCCTCCTCTTTACCACCCTCTATTTCTCTCTCCTCCTCTCTAACGCTCTCTCTATTTCTCTCCTCCTCTTTACCACTCTCTATTTCTCTCTCCTCTTAATGCTCTCTCTTTTTCTCTCCTCCTCTCTAACGCTGTCTCTATTTCTCTCTCCTCCTCTTAACCACCCTCTATTTCTCTCTCGTCTTCTTTACCACCCTTTATTTCTCTCTCCTCCTCTCTATCATTATTTTTCTCTCAGTCTCTCTTCTCTACCACTTCCTCTTTATTTCTCTCTCGCCATCTGTTTTCTATTTATCTCTCACCTCTATATACTGATGTCATCTCTCTCTCTCCTTCTCTATCTGACTATTTCCATCTCTTCTATCTCTTTATTTCTCCCATTCTTTCACCATCCCTCATTTTCTCTATCTTTCTCTTCTTCGTCTCTCTCCCCCTCTCTCAGTCTTTCAGTTTCTCTCGGTGTTGCTTTATTCCTCTCTCTCCCATCTTGCCTTTCACTCAGCCATCAATCAGATCTAACAGACCTAATCAAATGAAGATAAACGGCAAATAAAATATTATTTATTAATAAGCTGCTGGACACTCGCATCATATGAAAATATAAAAATATGTCACTTAGCTAAAACAGCAGCAGCCAGTTTAAAGCTTTCATTTTCTCTGTAGTTTAATTGTTTTATAGACAGTGTGTCAAACCGTGGACTTCTTCAGAACGACCACAGAACACGACAGAGTTTCCGATATTTCAGCCCAGTCTGTGCTGAGAGCAGGTTTACCCTTTACCTCTTCTCTCTGAGACGGCGTGGAGGAGGTCAGTGAGGGTCATCTCACTGCAGAGTCTGTGAGTGACCCATGTGACCCCTGGGGGGAGGGGTTTGGCATCCCTCCAGCATGGACCCGGACTGACCGCCGCATCTGCAATCAGGCAGCATGACTGGCCAATCAGAGAGCCCAGCTTCAGCCACTGTTCTACATCCTGTACAGAGAGAAGTGAGAGCTGCCAATCAATATAGTCTCCAGTATGTCAGAGACAGAAAAACACCGAATCAGAATCAGACCCCAGGTTGCCAGATTTTACTTTAAACAGAGGGAGGAAAACCCTCAGTCAGGACCAGGTAATGGGTTGCCATATTTTACTCTTATTAGTACTTTTATTAGTCAGAACTAGAACTAACCAGACCCCAGGTTGCCAGATTCTAATTTATAGAGAGAAAAAAGACAGCAGTCAGAACCAGGTCCTGGCCTGCCAGATTGTAATTTAAAGTCTTCTGGTTGATAGACTTTTTGATTTCAGAGGGAGAGCAAAGCCTTCAGTCAGGCTCAGGCCTGGGGTTGCCAGGTTTTACTTTTAACAGAGAGAGAAAAGCTGTCAATCAGAACCAGGTGCTGGATTGCCTGATTTTAATTTACAGTCCTCTGGTTGCCAGATTATACTTTATAGAGAAGAGGTGTCAGTCAGAACCAGGTCTTGGGTTGCCAGAGTGTACTTTACAGGCCCTGGCTGTCAAAATTTTCTTTACAGAGCGAGAACAGCCCTTAATTATTATAGATCCAAGGATTCCAGATTTTACTTTACACAGAGAAAAAACAAAAATCAGACCCAGGTCTTGGGTTGCCAGGTTTACAGAGAAAAATTAGTCAGATCCAGGCCTTCTGTTGCCAGATTGAACTGCAATCGCTTCTGCTTTGTCAACTACATTTCTAATAACATTAACACAGCTTACAGTGTATGTGTCCTCCTGCAGTGGTGTTTGAGGGGGATTCTGATAACAGATTTTACAGATGTTCTTACCTCTTTCCTGAAGGGGTCAATGAGGGCTGCAATAGCTGGGTACTTAGTGACCAGCCCCACATACATGTCCACCAGCTCATCTGGAGATTTCAGAGTCCCCGCCACCACTTCATACTTCCCCTTCGGCTACAACATAAAGGGAGAGATGTCAACAACAAGAAGCAAAAAAGTCGTGGTCAGCTAATTCTACTTACTAGTGACGACACACTGAATCAAGACTAGTAAAATGAAAGGCTTAATATTCAACTGAAGAGCTGATTACAGCAGAGGTGCTGTGCCAGGCCATTTCATATCACTGGTCTAAGGCCTGTTTGCACTATGATTTGATGTCCATATAGGCTAACCAAGCACTGGAGCCCAAACATGGCCCTTTTTTGCAAACATTTGTATGCAAAAGTTTGGGCACCCTGTTCAAATGACATGTTTTGTTGATGTCCTAAGTAAAAATGTGAACATATCTATTTGTCTGCAAATTTTAGGTCAATATTTTGGGAAAAAATAAAACACATAAATGTGCTTTATCTTTTGCACAGGCCACATTTAATTTTTCCCCTCAATATGTTAAAAACAAACTCACTGTGTATTAATATGTGCAGAGGTTTGTTCTCTGTAAAGGATGTGTTAATATTAAAGCATATGTTTCAACAAAACATTCGATTTTAGCAGGGGTGCTCAAACTTTTGCACAGGACTGTCCTCCCTTGTAGACAAGAATTCAAGCCTAATCTGACACACTTGATCCAGAATATCTTCAGGAGCATGGTGTGTTAGATCAGGGTTAGATCTTAACTGTCCAGAGAAGCTGACTGCCAGACGTTTTAAAGGCCAGAAGTTTAAAATGCTATGCTAATGTTGTTAATGGCAAATGGCAATTGCTAACAATGCATGAAATGTTTTGTGTCTACTCACGTAATCCATAAGCATGTGGGCAGCGCAGTTTATCGCTAGCCGGAGCTCTGTGCCAATGGGCAGTCCCAGGTTGGCACATGCCTCCATCAGCAGGTCGAGAGCTTGCTCCGGGCGGTCAAACCCCAGCTGCAGACCGCCCCCTTCAGATACACCCAATACTGCAAGCTGATTGAAAGGGGACAAGTCCTTGTTACAGTACTACAGACAAGCGGAACAACTACCTTCCATCTTCTATTGATATGGTTTTCATTTCTTCCCCATTTTAGTCACTGCCAAATCCACCTGTTATCTAGGTCTCCCTCTATCACACGATGCCACTAAGCTGGGAGGGTGAAGGCTAACAAGGGCTGAACGATTTGGGGAAATTGCGATTTTTCTAACCAATTTAAATTGTGAATTGTTAAATTGTTTTCTATGAATTAAAGTCCACGTCTGTTTCTTTGGCCAAGAAAACCAGAATATATATTTTTTCTGGCTTAAAGCTTGAACACAGAATTTAGTACACCACACTGCCAGTTAGTTTATCACAATAACAAAATGATAAAATCACGATTTAAAGCTTAATACAACAACGTTAATACTGCAGGCTATAATAAAGCATTAAGCCACGAGAGGCCATGCGTTACTGTGATTTTATCTTAGGGAAGGGCATGAAAAAAATCGCAGTAACTCACAGCCTCAAGTGGCTTATTGCTTTTATAAAATGGCAGCCAACATAAAATATGATAAAATACACAATTTTTCAGAAAATAATTTAAGTTATTATTAATAATAATCGACATAAACAAGCCAAGAAATAGAGTTTAGAGTACCATACTTTAGAGTATGGTATCATTGCCAAGCAACCATGGACTGCTGAATGAGGAGCACGTTCGGTCACCCATCGCAGTATATTGTGGTCATTTCATGAACTTTGTAACATTTTGTTGTTTATCAATGAAGATATGACACAGCACTGATTAACGCAAAAACCTTCACTTTATAAGTACTTTTTAGTCACCAAATTACCACCACAAGTCTTATTTAGCACCAATCCAGCAGCGCCCTCTTCTCACACTGGAGCTGAATCTCAAACGGCTCCCTGCTCCCTACGTAGTGCACTACATAGGAATTTAAACACTGGATCCTGCAGCCTAACAGTGCAAAATATAGCTAAGAAATAGTCATTTGGGATTCAGCCACATCCACACTTGATAAACGATGCACTATTTGGCTGTAGAGGCTAGAATTTCTCAACTTTCATAGCAGGCATACAATTTAGGGAGTACAGAGCTGTTTGGGATTCAGCCTGGGTTTGACATTTGAAGTGTGTAAGACATTCATGTGATAAGTGATAATTCAAGCCTGTGATATTAATGATGGAGTTGTTTAGGCTGTTGGCTATGTTTTAGCCTGTTAGCTAACTGACCAACCTAGTTCTAGTTAAGAACGTAAGTTGCCAGCCCCCCAGTTTACACAAAAACGTGTTCTTACTTCATCAGTACACTCGGTGATCCATGCGAGTAGCATTAGAATCAAAGATCATTCTTCAAGGTTTTTTCGTGCCGTGTCACAGTGATACACAATTCAGTTGTTATGAGGCAGTCATAAGTGTGTGTGTGTATTGTAGATTTTACAATGGCTTCAAACGCGGCTCAGGCAATCAGATTTTAGGACCGGAATGTGTTTGTTTATGGATAAATTCTCTAATTAGCATTGTAGCTCTTGCGTTTCGAAAACTGCACTCTTCCAAATTGCGATTTTTTCATCTTTCAGCCCAAATCTAACACATTCTTCCTCTAAGATCCGTGAAATGCCAACAATTTTTTTCAAACTGCCTTACTTGACAGCTCAACATGCTTGGAGGAGAGCACTAATTGCTTATTCTTTTATGTCAGCAAATAGATACCCATGTTGGCTACCCATCCCGAGAGAGGCAACAATTATGCTCTCTTGGACTCCTGGCTACAGACAGCTGTGGCATCACCAGGGATTGGACATGCAATCTCCCAGTGACAAAGTCAATTGATATTGTTTTCTACAGAACAATCTCAACCCTTGAAAGTCTAGACTTTTGCAGACTGCGCTTTCTGCTTGTTTCAATGAGCTACGAGTGAAAAGTAATCAATATGAAATTACAACATGCTGACAGTACTACTTGTAATACTTCCAAAGGTTAAATGAACTTTATTTGAAACTGACTGATTAACCAATTGATTGATTGGTTCAAATGGCTTGTCAAACATGCTACTCTGAATTGAACCATGAGCGGGAGTGAAAGAGAGGATGAGAATACGGAGTGTCAGAAAGTACCTAAAGGCCTTGCTCTTCTGCGAAAACACCAAGAACATGGACTGTTTGAAAGTGAAAGAGGGAGAAGGACACGCCTTTGTGTGTATGTGTTCTGTGCTAAGCTGAATGTTATTGCTGAGTGAGGAAATGGTATGTGCTCTCCAGCATGAGGTATTGTGAGAGAGAAAATGTGGTTTCAGTGGGTTTTAATAGTCCAGAAGGCCACACACTCTATAGCATGTTGCGTTTTCATCTACCCACACTGCGGTCCATGGACTTTATTGTTGCTGTATATGTAAGATATGAAGGAATATGAAGTCTAATCAATGAAGCCATGGTCTTGAAGTTGAGGTTAGCTTTGTAAATCTTTTTTCAGTGTGCCTGACCGTGCAGCTTCTGACCAACTTTTCTGTTTCTGACAGCTTACCCCAGTTTTACCAGCTGCAGTGGTGGTGATTCTCTTTATTTCTCTTTGGAGCTCACGGCCCATCCTGATGATCTAGACAGAAGGAACACAAGTGTTTTGATACACACAGCAGCAAAGTATACTGTGAAAAGGTTTAGGCACCTGAGAAAATGACATTTAAAAAGCTAACTATCTGGATGGTGAGCATTTATTTGCTCAAGAAAGACTAATATTAGAATAAAGATATAGATATTAACACATAGTTTATGTGTTTGTTTAACCATTTCCACCTCTATCCTCATTGCAGCCCAGTGTTATTTGTAGTTATCATCCAACATCTGGTGTGGCTAAGCGATTCTTCATTATGTTAAATCAGGAGTGCTGGTGATGGAATTGAACAAATCTAAGGCTACGTTCACATTACAAACCTCATTGCTCAAATCCAATTTTGATTTGATCTCTGACACGATGGTTTACAGTCATTTAGGTAAGTGATTCAAATCTGTCATTAATGTGAACGAACTGGTGTCCTGAAATGATCCACACGCGCACATCCTACTCAGTAACGTCACGTGAATGAATCACGTGCATCATCAGCAGCAAACTAACGAGCAGAACGAGCTTCGCTGTGAAGATAATTAACTCTGATCAGCTCTCAGCTGCATTATTAGAGTGAGGCGAAGACAAAAAAGGTGAGATGTGTTGTTTTTCCATCGTTTACAGGCTTTAACTTCTGTTCAGCGCTGCTGGCATGGTAACGCTGAATGATGGCGCACGCACAATGGGAAAAAAAAACACATGAATTGCAATCTGAGCGTCACATTAACGTCACGTGGCCACGAATCGGATACGTATCCGATCTAGGACCACATATGAAAATGGCTCAGGTCGGATTTGAAAAGATCAGATTTGCATGTCCACACAGCCCTGAAAACATCAGACCTGAGTCACATTAGAGCAAAAAATCGGATTTGTGCCACTTTAACTTGGTAATGTGAACATAGCCTATGTTTGTTTGCATCTGTTTTTTTCCAATTTTCTTTTACACAATTTAGTTATTGCCCATTCCATCCATTAGATTTGACCATCTCTTCTGTTTCTGACAGCTTACCCTGGTTTTATGCTACCAAGCTGGGAGGGTGAAGACTAGCACATGCTTCCTCCTGTTTGCACGTATTCTGATGATATATGTTGATCTTACAAGCAAAAACACACGTATTGAAAAGATAAATGGTTTTAAATATTGTGTTTAGGTGCCTAAGACTTTGGCACAGTGCTGCATATCACCTGGTCTGAGTATCAGAGACCTTGAGTTCATCCAGAATATTCTGCTGTGGAAAGCGTAGTGGAATGTGATTGCTTTAGTTACCATTTATATCCGTATGCGTGTGTGTGTGTCTGCACCTGTGAGGGGGAGTGTGTCCTGGTGGGCAGCAGGATGAGTTCCTCCAGCAGGTTGAGTTTCCCTGCCGATGCTCTTCCACAGCTTAACACTGTTAGCAGGGGTACAGGCATGAACACTGAACTCAGAGCCTGCAGACAAAGAGAGAGAGAGAGAAATACAGAGAGAAACACATCCTTCACTTCCTCTCCAGCACATTACTGAGTAGCTCGACTTCACTTCCTCCTGCTTGTTATAAATTGCTGGTTTTAAGGCACACTGTAAATGTTGTCTTTCATGATGTTATATTTTAGTCCTTGAAAACATTCTTTCTGAGTCATGTGAAGGATCGAGTAGGCAAGACTCTCAGTCCTTAAATACTGGAAATACTGTTAATTGGAGTTTTAGAATTAGGAGGTGACGTGTGTGATGTGTGTAATTATATCTGCAGCTCACAGGGTTTTGTGTGACAGAGCTAATCTAGGTTCCCTAGGCTGTGGAAGAGCGTCGACAGGGAAACTCAACCTGCTGGAGGAACTCATCCTGCTGCCCACCAGGACACACTCCCCCTCACAGGTGCAGACACACACACACACATACGGATATAAACGGTAACTAAAGCAATCACATTCTACTATGCTTTCCACGGCAGAATATTCTGGATGAACTCAAGGTCTCTGATACTCAGACCAGGTGATATGCACCAGTGCTGTGTGTATTCATATAAATATATATGTGTGTGTGTGTGTGTGTGTGAGTGTGCTGACCTGTGGGTCTCTGAGAGTGATGATGTGTTTGTAGAGGGGAACTGCAGAGAGGCTTGCAGCAGATTTGGCTGCTGCCAGTGAAACAGCAGCCACCACCATCGCTCCTGGCAACACAGGCACTGGCTGTTCTGGAGGAGGGACCAGCTTCTCCACACTGTTTCGCTTCTTACCTGCAAATACACCAGCCCAGTGCCAGAGAGTCAACACTAATGCTGCAGTCACGTTTGCGTTTGGTACACCACTGGCAGCATGAAGCCATACGAACGTTGGCATGGTTACAGTTTTCCTGGTGAAAATGGATGATTATGAGAGGAGAGCTTTAGCAGTGTAGACTGTTTATTTAAGGTAGAAAAAGGCAGGGGAATGCGCTGTACTCTTATTTTTTGCTGTATAATACTGGGATTGTCTGGAATTTAACAATGAGATGTTTGGCATCCATGGCTCCCAAAAAAAAGAACATCAACATGAACACTAACCCAAGAACATCAATGCAAGAGTATCAACACTAATCCAAGAACATCAGTGCAAGATATCAACACTAACCCAAGAACATCAATGCAAGATATGAACACTAACCCAAGAACATCAATGCAAGATATCAACACTAACCCAAGAACATCAATGCAAGATATCAACACTAACCCAACATCAATGCAAGAGCACTAAAACTAACCCAAGAACACCAACGCAAGATATCAACAATCTAAGAACATCAACGCAAGAGCATTAACACTAACCCAACATCAACACATAAGTATCAACACTAACCCAACATCGACACAAGAGGATCAACCCAAGAGTATCAACATTAAACCAAGAACATGAATGTAAGAGCATCAACACTAACCCAAGAACGTCAAGACAAGAGTACCAACATTAATCAAATATCAACCGAAGAGCATCAACACTAACCTTTAAACACCAGCTCAAGAGAATCAACCAAACCCAAGAAAACAAATAAAAATGCTCCAAAGCATTCAAGCTGCTAATGCAAGTTTATGCTAAACAAACAAAAAAATACATACATTTTTACACAATGTGCATTTTATATCTGCATATATATTTGGATTTATGTTCATGTGCATTTTATATCTTAAATATAGTTACTGTGATCAAAGTTTTAATGGCCTATTTCAGTTATTAAACTGTGCTGGTCTGGTTGCTCCATCTGACTTACTGGTTGCGCCACCTGACTTTTCAGACTAATTTCAAATTAAACAGGCATCTACTTAGTTTACTTACCTGTAGAAACCTTTGTCCTTGAACTTGAGTTTATACTCACATTTTTTCCTATAACTAAATATTATTACAATAATTCCACTCCACATTTTCATGGTTCTTCTAAGGTCAGACCACTTGACATGGTAAACTGAACCGTTCTAACCATGACTCAAACATCAAATCTGTGAAAGGGCTGCTGGCCTTGCATTGCACCATGAAGGTCACTTGGGGTCATCTTTGTGATGCACTGGCCCATACTGGCCCATCTTCGTAAAAGCATGCCAAAATAAAAGTTCTTTGTTTTTGGTTGGGCCGCGTGGTATTTGAGGAAGTAAGTACTTGCAGACCAACGTTTTTCAGTGAGTTGAGCACTTTTAAAGTTGTCTTATTTTGCAACATGGTTTTTACTTTAAAGTTTACAAACATAAAATCATGCCCAACTATTTTATTTAGAATTTTAAATAGCTAAATGACTTTTTTGATAGTTTACTTAATCAACATATACGTTTGGACAGCTGCATCACCTGACATTTTTTGACTTTTGGAGGCAAAAAGAAACTAAGATAATTTTATATGGATGCACTGAAAATTGTTTCACATTAAAAAGGTGTTGTTGAATAATTTGATATATGTCATGTATTTATTAAATTATTTCTGGGGAAAATAATGGACTTGGATACAAAAAATACATGTTAAATCAACAACCCACATGCCTCTGCACTGAAGCTCAGAGGAGAGTGTGTCTGATCTCAGAGCAGCAAGAGAGTAAAGCTGGCAGTATAATTCAAAAGGCAAAGTTAATCAATTTCAATTTCAAATGGCAAATTAAACTACTGCTGAACATACAAACTCAAACCACTGGGTCATTTTGGCCAAACAGATATTGTTTTGCTTTCAAATGTTGTTTTTGTTTTTGACATATATTGCTAGCTTAAGAGAATGCCCTACAGCACTTTTCTACAATGTTAAAAACTTGTAAGCTACGTTATTAGAAATCCCCTACCTTATATTGTGTACAATTACAGACTGCAGCCCATATGTTGCTGCACAATAAGTTAACGTGTTATTTTACAATCCCTTAAGCTCAATGTATTAGCCAGGCAAATGTGAGGTACAAACTCCAAAGCACTAGGTCATTAATTTGGATTACATGGTGGCAAATATCCAACAAGTTGTAGGTATTAATTGGCTGTGAGGCACAAATTCCACAGTACTGTTTAATTTTTTGGGGGTAATAATACTGGGTAAAAAAAAAGATTGTAAGAATTTAAGATAGTATGTATGTGTTTATTGCCTAGAATCAAAACTGAATCAGGACTGGTAAAGCAAGCAGTGGTTCTTTCTAGCCTTTACTTCAGAAAACTATCTTTGTATTTTTGCCATAATTTTACTCCATTTAACATTCATGATACTTCAAAGTGTTTTTGTTTTACTCTTACGGTTGCCACCTGACTTTTCAGGCTAATTTCAAATTAAACAGACATCTGCTTGGATGCCCAAAGAAACCCATGTTTGTACTAAACACTTTGTTACTCCAAATATTTTGAGGCATTTTATTATTACCACCATTGTACCCATAATAACAGCACAGCATCCACACTACGGTAATATCCAAAACCAGCAATATCAGTGTAAATTAGTTAAACCTCCTTGGAACTTACTAGCATGTTAACCAAAATAATTATTGCATACTTTGGAGTTTGTACCTCATTCTTAACAGGTTAACACCTAGAACTTAAGGTACTGTCAACAAAAGCATTACACCACAATTTATCAGCCCATTATATTATATACACCCTATATACCATTCATCACTGGCGAGTCTCTGACCACAGGACTGCTCTTGTCCAGATATTATGTGAGTGGTGGTCCACTCTCGTGACACTGATAATATGGTAGTGTGTGTGGGGCTGGTATGAGTGTATCAGCCACAGCAGTGTCACTGCTAGGTCGAGAGTGCACCGCCACCCAAAAATATCCAAACAAAAGTGGCGCTGTGGTCAGAAACTGACCACTGATGAAGGACTACAGGATGGCTAACACAAACTGTGCATCAACAAATGGGCTCTGGTCTCTAACAGTACACCAGCATGGTGGAGGTACACGAAAGTGCACTGGGAGTGTATATATACACAGTATATTCCCTCTGCTCTTAAAAAACAACACATCTTGAAATATTAATACACACTCATGAGTCACAATAACAGCTTTATGAATGGATAAAACTGTGATGAACCCAGGTCAGAACCTCCCACATCAGGTAGGAGTCTCTACTCCTCCATCACCTTCCCAGAGGACCGTCAAACACACTTAACCTGCCCGTGACCTTCACGGCACTCTGCTGTAAATAAACACCCTCCACCTAAACCAGGAAGCTCCGCTGAGTCTGGAGCTCTTTCTGCTGCTGGAAGAGCCTCGTGCTCTGCTGGCTGATGGATAGGTGTTGTTCTCCTTCCTCCTGGGACACTCTTCTTCTTGACATTTCTCATCGTCTGTTTTTTCAGTCGACCATGCGTTCCATGTTTCTGTCTTTTTTTCGGGTACAGTTCATTCACTTTTTGCTGCACTTATCTTGAGGGTTCTGTATGTGGGTCAAGTTCAGATCCTCACTCTCATCACTGCAGAACTTACATACATGCAGTACATCCCAATATACTGTACCACCGAATTACATCGATTTTTCAAAAAAGGCTGCATAATTAAAATGTTAAGATGTAAACAAAGTTGTTCAGAGTGGTTTGGTGTGAAATGCTCTGTTCTAGAGAGTCAGAATTGTTCACAGTGGTGGTGATAGGAACCAGACGTTTAAAGGGTTTAATGGCTCTAAAAGTTAGTTATTACATGAAATGCCTGATGCCTGAGACACTGTTTTGCGATAGTTTTGAGAAGGTTTTTGCCTTAAAATACATTTTAAAAATACATTCAGATCAGATAGGTACATGCAGGGTCTATTTTGCAATTATCCATATTATATATTAAAACTCAATGGGTTCAATGGTGGTTTCGGATAGTAAATAAAATGGGTATATTTGTGTTGTAGTCATGGCGACCCCTGGTTCCGTTTTTACACCATCACTGTAAAGAAATCTGACAATAACTGCCAATTTACCCTTTAACCCTGAAGGTTGGCGTGCAGACTGCTGGCCACCACAGAAGCGCAGACAACAAAAATTGCATAGCTAGTAGCTTACAAAAAGGCAAAGAGAAACATTCAAGACGTACATTGATAATTTGGAGACGAACAGACATATGTGCATTTATAATAATAATAAAAATAATAGTACTTTCAATTTATATAGCGCCATTCACAAACTAACACTTTGAAAAAGAAAAGTAGTGAACAGTGTAGAAGAAGGTTTTATGTTGAACTTTAAAAGAAGAGAGGGTAGAGCAGTCATGAAGAGATTGAGGTAGAGAGTTCCAAAGTTTGGGAGCAATAGCACTGAAAGACCTGCTGCCCACTGTTGAGAGTCTTGTGTGTGGGACAGCAAGAAGTCCAGTGCCAGAAGATCTGAGAGAGCGAGAGGGACAGTATGGTTAAAGGAGTTCACTAAGACCATGAAGAGCTTGGAAGGTTAGAAGGAGAAGTTTATACTTGATACGGGAAGATACTGGAAACCAGTGAAGTTGACGGAGGATGGGAGTGATGTGTGCAGTGCGCTTGGTAAAAGTGAGGACTCTGGCTGCTGAGTTTTGAATGAACTGAAGCTGGTTGAGCAATTTAGCAGGGAGATCATTGAAGAGGAAGTTGAATAATCAATGAGGGAGAAAATAAAGGCATTGACCAGCATTTTGGCATTAACATTGCTGAGCAGAGGGTGGAGACGTGCAATGTCTTATGCAATGTTACGCAAGTGGTAGAATGCAGTCTTAGTAAGTGCATTTGTAATTACTCCAGCTGGTTTCCTGGTACGTTTGATCTGCAACGAGAAACTGCCAAACATTAAAAAGTCGCGAAGCTGAAGTCGCTTCTCGTTCACCAGCTTCTCATTTGAATTTTCCTGTTAGACCTTAAATGGTGCCTGTGGTGCTATTTAAGGTGGAATGGGACAATTCGAACAAGAAGCGAATGAGAAGCTGACTTCAGCTTCGTAAAAAAAATGAATGTTGAGAGAAATTTTACAAGAAACTATTCTACTTTTGAGGAAAGGTTTCCTGCCGGAGATGCGAGAAAAGCAGCTATAGCTGAGCTAAAGCTTAAAGCAGAGCGAAGTACGTCTGCATTTTCATTTATATTATATTTTCAGCCTATATTAGCAGATTAGCACATACTGAGACATATTTACAGCCAAGATGGTACAATGGACATAAAATGCTATGGCTCCCAAGGTGGTTTGATTTTTGCTGAAAGGACAAAATGGCTCTTATAAACATTGTGACCCCTGGCCTAATGTGATACTACATTTAGCATCATTTAAATGCAGAAGCATGCATAAGGATCACAGCTATTTTACTTTGTGTAATGTAAATAACCTTTCTTGTTCATCAGTTTTTGGTCTAAAAGTCTAATAATATAAATAATTAAACTGTGGTATTAATTACTGTTGGCTTGATGCTTATGGCCACAGAACAACAGCGCCAAAGCCTCATAGCACAGTTCTCCCAAATATATATTACTGTGTGTATCTTGCAATTAGCAACTAAACAAGAAGTGTGCAGATTGAAGAGTTCATATATCACTTTAGCTTCTTTCCTTCATTACTCTACCTTTCTCTCCTCCTTTCTTGTCTTTGCTTTGAGAAGGTGGGGGAGGGGGCGTGGCCTCATGTGCACTTTCACTCCTCTTTTCCTCTTCCTCACTCTTCCTCTCTCTGTTACGAGCATCTTGTTCCTCGAGATAACGAGCCATGAGAAAATCACTGCAACACACATACAACAAGATAACCAGAATAAAGTTTAGTTTTACTGAATGTCGATTTACAGTTACTGTAGTCTGCCAGGTTCCAAGCTCTTTGCTAACTCTTTCACATTTCATGCAGTTACATAAATATTAAATGTTGCCTAAATATTGTCTTATACTTTATTGATGTGCTGAAGATATATGCATTTCAGGTAAAGGCAGCAGCAGAGCACTTTGCGTAGACACTGCTATATTGAGTAAAGAAACAGACTGCAAAAGCAGGTTAATGCATCAAGGCTTTTATAGGGTCCTGCATGGTAGTGGGGATCAAATCTAAAAGAACAATATCAAAGCCGTTACAGGTATACACTGTGTATCCAAAAATGTCCTTCTAATGAATGAATTCAGTGGACCCATGTTTAATTGTGCACACACAGCTAAAATCTCCATGAAAATACATTGTCAAATAGAATGGGATATATAGCCCCCCCAGCACTGAGCTGTGGAGCGGTGGAACTGCGTTCTCTGGAGTGATGCAGCTCCATCCAATACCTTTGGGATGAGTTGGAGTGATCCAGAACTGACCATCCAACATCAGTACCAGTGTCAGATTTGCGGAAAATATCAAATTGTGATTTTTCTGACCAAAATTGCAATTGTGATTATTTTCTTTAAATTAAGCTCCATTGGTCACATAAAAGATCTTAAATTATGTTCCATGCTCAACATGTACATGACATACATTACTCAATTTACAATTATGTACTTTTTTCACTTTCCACTTAAACATCGCCCTGAAGAGTTTTTTACGCAGCTCACTTAAAGTAAACGGAAAACTTATGGCAAAAGATGTTTTATGCAAGTTAACACGGTCCTGTTTTTGGCCAGCATATCACTTTTTTCAGCCCAGAGCCTTGAATGCTGAATGTAATGCTTCTCCACTTAAAGCTTGTGAACACAACATTGAGTAATGTAAGATTTAATTAAAATTGTAGCTCTGATTTAGTCGAACAACCCTAATCAATACCGGACCTCACTAACATTCTTGTGGCTGAATGCAATCAAATCCTCACAGCAATGTTCCAGCATCTAGTGTAAAGCATTCCCAGAAGAGTAAAGGCTGATATGCAGCAAAGGAGGACAAACTCCCTATTAGTACCCTTTCTTTAAGGAAAAAACACTGGGCAAGCAGGAGCCTGAGAGACTGAGAGTAAGGCTGTGTTATTGTGTCAATAAATCTGAAGGCCTAGAACCCATGTGTCAAACACAAGGCCCGGGTGCCAGATCAGGCCCATAGCATAATCCTATCTGGCCCGCAAAAATATTTTCAATTTCTATTAATATTAGCCTGTCTCACAGCACGCTGCACTACAATCCCCAGTATGCACTGCAGCACAATGTGCGTAATGTAATGTAATGTAGCCTGTTGTAATGTGTATGGTGTTGTGTACTGTAGTCTATTTATATATTTACTAATTCATTTATTTTATTTTTGAATATTTCAAGTATTCAATATGTAATATTTCAAGGTTCACTACAACCGCCTTTATTTTGATGCTGGTGTTTTGGTGTATTTTAAATAAACAATGGCCAGCCCAGGTTACTGCAAAATGTCATTTAACCATCAATTAAAAACACAGACATTCTCTGGCCCACAGATTTGTAGAGGTTTTCTAATATGGCACTTTAAGTGGTTGAGTTTGACAACCCTGGCCTAGAAGCTCTTGAGGGTTCCTCACTACTGTAGAAATCCCTCTGGTGCAAATATTGGTTGTAATGTTACAGAATTATCAGAATTATACATGTTTGGTTGTATGACAATGACTGACTCCATAGAGAGGAGATGGGTGCTATAGAGCATGTGATCCTGTGTGTAGTGTGTGTGTGTGTGTGTGTACCTGAGCACTTTGTCCAGCTGTGTTTGGTGGGCAGGGTTAAAGCCACACAGCATGGCACTCAGCTGCTCTCTGATCCACTCCAGAGCAGTCGCCACGGACGCCTGCTGATGGTTACCGTCAGCAACCGCATCCCTTGACTCCACTCCATCATCATCAGCACCAGTAATCACTGCACTGCACACCAACTGCAACACAGACACAGTCACACGTTCAACTGCACACACACAGTTTGTATAATGTCTATAGAATACCACTGACTTAGCTCAACATGAGCCAAAGGTCACCATGTCCAATGTTAAAATATTTAAAAAATTTTTACAATTTTTTGTAATTGTTTTACAATAATATTAAAAAGATTTTGGATTTATGTTTTTTTTAGGTATTTATGGTGGAAAGATACATGTAGGGCAAAACAAAATAGTCCCAAAAGAAATCTTTTTACTATTTTATCATCATCAACATTCCAAATAAAAGCTCAGAAGGCACATGCAGGTTCACTGGTGGTTTAGTAAATAAAATGCCTATTTTTGTATTGCCGTCATGGTGACGCCTGGTTCCTATCACCACCACTGTAAAGAAATCTGAACCATTTTACACCAAACCACTCTGGATTGGTGATCATAATTTTGAAAAATTAGTGAAATTGCCCTTTCCCCCTTTCCCCCAGGGATAAAACTGATAAAAACACAAACAGGGAGAGACACTCCAAATTCCTCTGTGCTCCTTCCTCTGCTGTGCTGAGTCAGACACTCCCCTCTCTCTGACCCTGCACTCAAACATATTCCTCTTTTTTTCTCTTCTTCCTCTCCTTCGCTCTTTCTCCACTCTACTCACACTATCTCCTCTCCCCACACATCTCCTGTGTGGGTGTGTTGTGTCACACATTAATCATCACATCACTCCTCGTTTGTCCTGCCGCACAGGCAAGAGGTCAAAGGTCACAAGTTGATGCCCCTTTCTTCACCTCACTGTAGGCTACTGCTTACATAAACACACAGTCTGACCTCGCCTGCCCCATCACTGCCTCACTTTACTGCCTAGCAACATGTTCACTACTCCCATCAGAGCGTGCCTGTGAGAGAGAAGAATCTCTCTTCTGAATTATTCCTGCTTTTTTGACATTTTTTAACATTTAGCAGTCATTTTCATTTAGGAATGGGCAATATATCAATATTTATCATCATCGTGATAAATTACATCACTATATACTTCTGTAAATATATAGTGGACATCGTCAGTGCTTAAAAAAACTGACCAGCTGCATATTTCAGTACAAAGAGAGCATAATTAGTGCTGTTTGACTGGAATTATTGAGGCATAAGTTGTGAAATGCTGAATAAAAATTATTGTATTTATTGTTTTCAATTGTATTTTTTAATTGTGCTACTTCTGGTTCTTTTCCTTCTGTTCCAACTTAACACATGTCAGACAAAATAAATACCATGACTTATTGTGTTTTGTGAAAAGTTCTTGAAATATCATAAAATATTTTTTCTATATCGCCCAGCTTTATTTTCATTGCAGTTTATGAGCAACTTTTGTTTTTTGCAAGTATGAATGGTCTTTACTTGCTTTAAAGCACTCAAATGCTGATGTAGTCAACCAGCTAAGACACGTTTGCTTCTGAAAAGTTTGCTTCTTTAGTTTTGCATTGGCAGTACAAGGTTCATGTTGCTAATACGTAATGGAAGCTTATAGCTATTAGCATGGTGCTAACTACACACTCAGATGCTGCATGGCTGACAGACTACAAGCTAAGGGATATACTGTGTATATTAGATTTTTCACCAGAAGTCATGTTGTCATTTTGTACTCATGCCCATATAAGGAACATCAGGGTCTGCGTAGTTTTTCTCTATGGGAAAAATGAATGGCGTTCTAAAAAACTGGTTCTATTGCACACTGTAGAAAACAAATGTTCCAAATCTGATACATTTAGTCCTATTTTTCTTCAGAATGTATAATATCACTGAATCCTCTGAATTACTAGCACTGCAGCTTATTAAACTCAGAACATAAGACTGGAGACATCACTAAAATGGCCAACGGAAACAAGCAAGCTTGACCAAACGTTGCTTTGAAAAGTTGCTTTGGCACTTCGGCTGGTGTTGGCATATATCAGTTCAAGTTTAATAATGATTAACTTTCATGTGACATCAGTGCAGTTCACAGTATTAGCTTGCTTGTAGCATGGATGTAGCATCATTCATATTTCGACTGCTGAACAATCTTGTGATTAAGAGGATCGAGTGACATTAAGGGGGGAAATGTAGATGAAATCAGCTTTAGAATTAAGCTACTCGAGGCTGTGCTTTACTGTGATTTTATTATAGGAAAGGGTTTTTAGGCACGACTTCAAGCGGAGTAAATCCCCCTGCCCCATGATAAAATCATTGTAACGCACAGCCTCTCTTGGATTATTGCTTTTCTAAAATGGTGGACAACATAAAATATGATAAAACATACAATTTCTCAGTAAACAATAACGTTATTATTAATAATAATCAACATAAACAAGTATTCCACCAAGAAATGTACTTCCTTTAGAGTATGTTATAATTGCCAAGCAACCATGGACCGCTGAAAATTCATTTAATGAATTTTATCGTATAACAACGAACATATGATAACACAGCACTGTTCAATGCAAAACCTTCACTTTATAGGTACTTTAGGTCACCAAATTACCACCGCAATGACAATGCTAATTTTCATTAGTGCCTCAATGTGATTTCCAGTCTTATTTAGCACTGAGCTAATGGCGCCCCTCCTTCCATGCTGGGACTGAATCTCAAATGGCTCCCTACTCCTTACATAGTGCACTAAACAGGAATTTAAATACTGGCTCCTGCACCCCAATAGGGTGTAATACAGCTTAAAATAATCATTTTAGAATTCAGCCACATCCATATTTGACCAAAAGTGCACTCTTTGGCTGTAGAATTTCAAAACTTACATTTAAGTGGCCCTTATTAGTCCCACAATGGGGAAATTTCACCTCTGCATTTAACTCATCTGTGCAGTGAAACACCACATACACACTAGTGAAGACACACACTTAGGGGGCAGTGAGCACGCTTGCCCGGAGCAGTGGGCAGCCCTATCTGCAGCACCCGGGGAGAAGTTGGGGGTTAGGTGCCTTACTCAAGGGCTCAGGGGATCGAACCGGCGACCTTCTGGTCGCAAGGCTGGTTCCCTAACCTCCAGCCCACAACTGCCCCAAAAGTTTTATAACTCTCCCTGTCTGGGAATCAAACCCCAGTCTTCCGGGTGACAGGCAGAGATACTGTCCACTATACTAAGGAGGAAGAAGCAAAGACATACAAGACAAGCACAGACTGTTAGCTAGCTGACCAGCCTAGTTCTACTTAAGAATATAAGTTGCCAGCCCCTCAGTTTAAACAAAAACAATCAATCAACACACTTGGTGGTCCATGCAGCACTGGAGGCAAAAATTATTCAACTAACTACAAAGGGTTTCTCGGTGGCGTAATAATACAGAGTTGTTGTGAGGTGGTCGTAGCTGTACATATATGGAGCATTTCACAATGGCTTCGAACACGGCTCAGCCAATCACATTTTAGGACCAGAACTGTCCATGCTTAGAGTTCCTTATATGGGCATCATGATCATGCTGACTACAGAATGACACAAAACACACAAGGTATAGGAGCTCAGATTGGAAGTCTGGACCTGTTTTGGTCATTTAAGGGGTTAACACACCAGATTCAACTCATCGGCTCAGTACCAAGCTGGTCATGAGATGAATGCGTGCAAACTCACAGACATGGACTGGGGAAACCCCCCATTTTCCGTGTGTGTATGAGCTGTTAACCCACCTTTTCTTCGTTCCTGACCACACAGTACACGTCTGCCTGCAGCGCTACTTCCCCTCTGCTGTCATACACCTCCCTGCCCACGATGGAACTGATCACAGGAGCGTGAGCCAACCTGGAGAAGTAATTCGCCTGGGTGAGAGAGAGAGAGAGAGAGAGAGAGAGAGAGAGAGAGAGAGTCAGCTTAAGACCTACTTACAAGACCTAAACGAAAGTCGTTTAGAGTGTTTTAATTTGGTTCTCTACAGAGAAGTTACAGTGGTGTTGACAGGAACCAGGAGTCACAAACACAAATATAGCCATTTTATTCACTATAAAAACTCTCCGCACCATGTATCCGTAAATATCACCGGGTTTGTCCTCAAACAGCTGATTTAAAAGCCCCTCTAAGGTCTGCGGGACTCGGTTGGCTCTGTAATACTCCGCCGCTCTACACTTCAGCTCATAAAACTCCTGCTCGGCTTTTAAGAAGCTTTTAAAAGACATTCTGGGTCGGTTCTCTCTGCGTTTCTGCTTTCCCGCTCCGTTTGTGTTCCGCGGTTGCTGGGCAACGGCAGCGGAAACATCGCGAGAGTTTCGAAGATTATTTATTTATTTATTTATTTGTTCTGTTATTTATTTAAGGCAAAAACCTTTTCAAATGAGTTTTAAATTTTACATCTGTTTTTTTAGAGTCGGAACAAAATATGTTCGTTCGTTTGTTTAGTTTATTGCGTGTCCGTAGTGACGGCTTTTAAAATGTTTATTTCTTTTAAGAGTCAAGCTAGACTTTATTTATCTGTTTATTTCATTGTTTGTTTGTTTGTTTGTTAATTGTGCGGCCATTATAAAAACGTTTAGAATATTTTTAAAATTTTTTCATGTTTATTTTTTTATTACATTTTTACTTTTTTAATTCTTGCATTCTTTTAAAGGTGAATCCAAACCTTTTTATTTATTTATTTAAGTGCATTATTTAAATAAATTAATTAATAAAGATGACCAGTGTGATTGCTTTTAACATAATCGTTTTTTCCATAGATCTTTTTAAGATTTAGACCAACTTTACTTACTTATTTACTATTTATTTATTTATTTATTTTTATTTATATTTATTGCATGTTCATAGTGATAGCTTTACAAATTAATTCTAAAATCTATACTTATTTATTTTAAGCGTCAGACCAAACTGTATTTATTTATGTATTTATTTATTTATTTATTTATTTTCTCATTTATGTATCGATTGATTTGTTTATTTAAATTTAGATTTTGTTTTTGCGTCACACAGTTGTGTTTTTTTTTTTTACTTTCAGCCCAAACCATATTCATTTATTTTAATTTACATACAAAACAGAACAAATTCAATCTGTACAATTATCAGATAATTTCGAGCCATAGCTCTTTTTTAAGTTTTGGTTTTGTTTGTATGTGTAAATAAAAGAAAACAGTTTGAGAAATCAGCGCTCTTTGATATTCATTCTGCACGTCATCCTTCAGTCCTCCAAAGGCCCGGATACTGAACTACACTGAACTATACTGAACTACACTAAACTACAGTGTATTAAACACAAAGGCGTCAATAAATAAATAACTAATTAAACTGCCATTCGTTCTGATCTGCGTAGCTGAGTCAGGCTGAGCAGCTGCGCTGAGTCTGAGGTCACCAAGCCTGTTCTAGAGGGTCTAAAGCCCACCCAGCATTGGGCTTTGGAACAGTGGAACTGTGTTCTCTGGAGTGATGGAGCTTCATCCAGTACCTGTGGGATGAGTTGTAGTGATCCAGAACTGATCATCCAACATCAGTACCTGACCTCACTAATGCTCAATCAAGTCCTCACGGCAATGTTCCAGTGTAAAGCCTTCCCAGAAGAGTAGAGGCTGTTACTGCAGCAACGGAGGACAAACTCACTAAAACCAGGAGAACCGCTGGAGTCTCAGAGCACAGACTGACAGACTGACAGACTGACTGTGTTTCTGAGATTCTTTACGTTTATTTTCTCAGAGAAGACGCTCAGGGACGATGTCTTTAAGCGTCATTAACACAGCTCGCGCGTCTCTGCGCTGCTTTTCTCACACAGACAAACTGACCGCACATTAAACACACACACACACACACACACACACACACACAGTTTATACTGAACAGAGGCTGTGAATTAAATTAATCTACATCACAGAATCAAACCCGACAGCAGCGCGCGGAGCTCACACACACACTTTAACACTGAACACACCAGTAAAAGGAGAGAAGGAGAGAAACCGTTACGAGGAGCTACTGGTCAGAACGGCGGTTATTAGCTTCCAATAATAATAATAATAATAATAATAATAATAATAATAACAACAAAACAATAAAAATAACAATAATAATACCAATATTTCTTCTTCTTTTTATTATTATTATTATTATTATTATTATTATTATTATTGTGTTGTTGTTGTTGTTGTTGTTGGTGGTGGTGGTGGTGGTGGTAGTAGTAGTATGATTGTTGTGCAGTTACTAACGGGTCTATCCTCAATTTAAATTAAAATAAATAAATAAATAAATAAATTCAAATGTACAGCATTATTGTCATTTTCAACAGAATATAATAATATAATATATAAAATATATAATAATTTTTGAATGTTTTTAAATTAAAATGTTTTTAAATTAAACCAAACTCCCACTTTGCTGCATACGCGGGCGCGCGAGCTGTACGTGTGCGTGTTGATTTATGACTCTGAGTGTGAAATAAGCCGCGTGCATTAATGAATAGAAATGTAAAGAGAACACAAACTTACGCGCACACACACACACACACACACACACACACACGTCATATTTATGAAGTTGTATTATATTTAGAAAAGCTCTCCAGTGACCAATCAGGTCCTTCATCATTCCATTAATGATATAATTGGTCTGATGTAATTATTAGTGTGATTATTAGTGTGGTTAATGTGATGAATGTGATCTGTGTGCAGCTGTAGTTAATCTCCTCCTGATCAGAGAGATGTTTAATCTCTTTAATCCTGACTCTGTGACCCACAGCTGCACTCTGAGGAACCTCTCAGCTCTGATCACCTCTAATCACTCACTAATACACTAATAATCAATAATACTTTCTCATCTCTCCTTCTTTCAGCTCTGATTACCTCTGATCACCTCTGATCACTCACTAATACACTAATAATCAATAATACTTTCTCATCTCCCCTTCTTTCAGCTCTGATCACCTCTGATCACTCACTAATACACTAATAATCAATAATACTTTCTCATCCCTCCTCCTCTCAGCTCTGATCACCTCTGATCATTTACTAATACACTAGTAATCAATAATACTTTCTTATCTCTCCTCCTTTCAGCCCTGATCACCTCTAATCACTCACTAATAATCAATAATACCTCCTAATCTCTCCTCCTCTCAGCCCTGATCACCTCTAATCACTCACCAATACACTAATAATCAATAATAACTCCTCATCCCTCCTCCTCTCTGCTCTGATCACCTCTAATCACTCACTAATACACTAATAGTCAATAATAAACTCCGAATCTCTCCTTCTCTCAGCTCTGATCAACTCTGATCACTTACTAATAATCAATAATAACCCACCATCTTTCCTCCTCTCAGCTCTGATTGCCTATAATGATTCACTAATAAACTAATAATCAATTTTAACTCCTCATCTCACCCTCTCTCAGTTGTGATCACCTTCATTAATAAACTGATAATCAATTAACTAATAATCAGTCAGTCACAGTTCGTAAGGTACTAGACTTTCCAGCTAAAGAGCAGAACTCTGAGATAAAGAGCTACAAATCACAAATCAGTTAAATTAAATGAATTAAATCAGCCCCGGTGCTGAGTGGCGTCTGTAAAAATGTATGAATAATTAGTGTTTTATTGTTAACAGTTCTAATAAACTCTGAGAGGATAATTTTATATGAATAACGCCATAAATTCATAATAATAGGAACATCACTTTAATATGTTGCTCTTTCCTGTTGGCTAACAGGAGATTTGGTCATCAACAGCACACAGAACGATCAATAATTATTAGACCATTTATCATTAATATGAGAATGAAGGGAATGAAGGAAAGAGAGAGAGAGAGAGAGAGAGAGAGAGAGAGAGAGAGAGAGAAAGAGAATGAAAGAGAGAAAGTTAAGGCTCGAGGTCCTTCTCAAGTTCATGTGGGGGTCAATCGCTCCAGGACACGGAGTCACAGAGCGCATATATGTGTATATATACATATATATATATATATATATATATATATATATATATATATATATGTGTGTGTGTGTGTGTGTGTGTGTGTGTGTGTGTGTGTGTGTGTGTGTGGAGAGAGAGAGAGAGAGAGAGAAAGAGAGAGAGAGAGTAATTCTTAAACGCTTAAACACGGATAACGCAGCGCCACCATCTGGTCAGTTCCAGCAAACAGCAGTTCAGTGCAGTTTCACAGAGCAGCGCTGCGCGAGCCTCACTGCAATACACACTACCTTTCCTCAATAACATCTGCATATATTTAAACACACATTCTTTAGACAACCGTTATATCTAGAACCATGACCACTCAGAGAGCCGTTCGTCCTCCTTTAAAGGTGAGAACATTTCGCTGTGTTCTGTCTGTTTTGCCACTTTTGTTAACTCTTCACATCTCTGCTGTGTCGTTGTGTCTTGCTTTGCCTTCTGTTCTTCCCCTTGTTTTGTTTTCCAGTTGATATAAACATGGTTCTATGTAACACCTAAAAGGGTTCCAGTCTCTTTGCAGAAGTCAGAGACCCTTCATTTATTCAATTTCTACTCAAAACAGCCGTTAAGTACAAGGTATTAATTTTTCATGAGATATTTCTGTGGAGATTAGACAGAAGATAAAAAGTAAAAGGAAAATAACTGAACTTTCAAAAATGGAGCTACAGCTACAGCTACAGAGAAAATAGGACTACTAACAACCACCTGGAAGACCTGGTAGACACTAAACACTGCCCCCATTAGATCAGAAGCTTCACTGAGAAAAGGAGACAGACACATCAAACAAAGAAGCTGAACAATGGACTGACCACCCCAGAGTCCAGACCTCAACATCACTGAATGTGTTTGATTACTTCAGAAAAGAAAAGACTGAACTTTGGAGGTGTGTCTGCAGATTTCTTTGAGAAACTCAAAGTGAGTCTCTTGAAAAGAATGGAAGCTGGAATAAAGGAAAAGAGTGAATCTCTGAGCACTCAAACAGCTGAGATTAGATTTAGCTGTTATTTATTTATTTGTTTGTTTTTTTTGTTGCCCTTTTTCCAACATTGAAAATAATCAAATAATCAAAAAGCAGTCATTAAGTACAAATACGTAATTTGTACTTAATGACTGCTTTGACATTATTGTAAGTTATTTCAGTAAAGATCAATTTTATCCACTTACGTTAGTTTTGCGTTGACGGTCAGACGACTTGTCCACTCTGTGTCCACAATAAGACGGTGTGAAGGCCAGACAAAACGTTGTCCACTCTAGTCATACACACACACTCACACACACACATACACACATAAATCACCCCAGACAGTGGTGGTC